TAAATATTAATATTACGTCATTACGTCATAACGTCATAAAATCACATTTACGAAAAATCGTATCAAAATTAGACAAGAAAGTATAAGAAAGAAAATTCATACTGATCGTAGCCATATTTTCCATATAGATCTGTATTGTTTTTAAGATAGTTTTGCTTATTTAATATGTCATCCGCTTTAAAATCTATATGTATAGAAATAAAATTAAAATTTTTGGATTAAATAAATTGATTATCTTTTAAACTGTCCTGCTATTCATTGTGAAGTTTGAAATATACAGCAATATAAATTAAATTTAATATAATTCGATAATCAAACGTAACAATTTACGTAACAAGTAAATTTGTCTGATAGTTTAAAGGATAAAAAGATATATAACATACCATAGCTAATAAAAATCACAAAAATCATAAATACAAGTATGTGGTTAATGATTAGAATCCCTTGATGAATTTCTACTGGTATTGTTTGAACATATTCATCATAAAAAGATATTTTTCTTGATTGACGTGGAATCATTTTTATTATTTTTAATGAAACGGGTATTTGATAATAAACTACGGGACTTAAGGCCCTACTGAAAAAGTATTGGTATTTATATGTTCTTGTGATCCTATACTAGGTGTGGGCTCATTTTTTATCATCCATTAATGTCTACCATTATGTATAATGCATATGCAACCAAAATGTTATAAAAAAAGTTTTCATACTAAAGTGAAGAGGTTGCTTCTATTCTGGTCTAATATTATTAAATATAATAACTTTTTTTGTTCCAAATAGGAAAGGTTGCCTTTATTCGGTAATATAAAGCATAAATCATCATTATTGCACATGATGATTTTTTATCACTGGAAAGGAAGTTCCAGTAATGTCCGGTGATTTCCAGTGACTTCTGGTTGGCCGATTCGAATCAATTATCTGGATTTCACTTAACAGGTCCGATACGAAAGTATCGGTGTCTGAATCGATCACGGGTATATAGTAATTGATCGTTGATGCATATCGTGATTTATCGTATGATTTTGCATTAGTGATGCATTCGTTGATGCATGGTCTTTGATTTATGATACGATTTTTCGTAAATGTGATTTTATGACGTTATGACGTAATGACGTAATATTAATATTTAAGGGTAACGGTTTTTTTTTCCAGAAAAGATAATTTCTTTTCTGCTAACCCAATTTTGTCTGGTTTTTTCGCCCGCGATCGTGCAGTGGCTTGGGAGTTTTTTGTTTGATGACCTGACGACAGTTATTGTTTATTAGCCGATTTTTAGATAGTTTATGACGAAAGTTATAATTTTGATTCTGACGAAGTTTTTTTGTTATTCACGTATATAGAAGTGATCTGTGGGACGACAGTCACGAAGAAATTTCCTATATTTGTGTACATGGAAGTGGCCTGTCAGAACGATAGTCATAAGAGAATTTTGTATTTGCGTACATAGCACTCGCTTTAGTCTTGACTGGCATGTTAATCAAGGGAATTTTCCAGATAGGATTATCTGGTTTTTTTTTCGTCCCGCCCTTTGCTTTAGTCGATTCCATCAGGTTCTAAGCTAGTCGATTGATACTTTCGAATTCCGCACTGTTAGTACGTATTGCACGAAAGCGGAAGGGACAGATAACTCATAGTTGCTTTTCGTTTGTAACACCCCTCGTTGAGGGACAAAATGCCATACCTGATATTGAATAAGCGTATAACGCATTGCTCCAAATCAGCTTCCGTTGTATATGAGATTTAAAATTGAGTTGTATAAAATCAAGGTGCATATTTAATACCAGTGCATGTCATAATTATAATCACTAAAAAAATTCCATAACTTATTATAATCGAGATTAATTTGTTTGGTATATATGTTAAATGTTAAGTTAAAATTTAATAATTACAAAATCTAATATATAGAGCATTATATTGACATCACTACTATATATAATAGTCCCATGACAAACCCATGGGTAAATAACAAGCTTACAATGGTGTAGTTATCATTAAATAAATGGCATGAGTAATTTGCAGATAAATTCATTTCATAAACAGGTAAATTAGTCGAACATCTTATATACTGTATATCATAGAATGTTTATTAACAAAGTAATTCTAGTCATTGTCATGAAGATTATGTTCAAAATTAGGAGTTTAGTGAAATTTATAAAGCCTGTCTGTGAAAAATGTGCCCTCGTTGAAATAAGCCGCTGGTGAACTGAGCTCATCTATAAATTGTCTGTAAAATAATCTTTTCTGTGAATAATAATTGTCGGTGAAATTTTGAAAATAAGTGGAAGTTTGAAAAGTCCTATTTTTGGTTTGAAATTTCGAAATCAGGAAATGAAAAAGGAATTGTCCGAGATAAAATAAGCAAGCTTTTTTTGATGATGTATTATATCTAGATCGCTGATTACAAAACTAATATGTCGCTAATTTAATTCGAAATCAGAAGCCTGAACCTTAAGTCTGAAATCTCCTAATACGACTTTTTTTTTTTGATGGATTTGAATGATTTAAGTTTAGGCCAATTAGATTATGACATTCCAGTGGGATTTCTCACTAGAACCTCTGGAACTCTAGGAAATCTGGACGTCCAGTGGGTTTCCAAAATTCCGGTACCAATACTGGTTGCACGGGTCTTATGTAACAACTAGTGCGTTTTTCATTTACTTATTGGATCGGGATTGTGCGTCAAGCACCGTGCAATAACTATAATATAGCAAGCAATAGTACATTATAATTTTCTTTCGTTAAGTTTCAAACATAATCAATCCCTATTAAACCTTGTATTATGCTAACCCATAACAGAGAGATCTCATAAAATGCATTTTGTAAAATTTGAAGATTATATCGAAATTATACTAACCGCCATAATTTTAATTACAGTATATCATATGGCGAAAATTTCCAGTTTTCATGATTTTTATTATGCATAAAAGCTTTTTGAACCAATCATATGCAAGATTTGGAGTGACTACTGAGATTAAAAATGATATCTTAATCAATCATCGTAAAATTTCTTAAGAGTTACTTATCAGTTACTTATCAGGTTTTTATTTACGTAGTTTACTTTATGGGTCCTTAGATAATTTACGAGCTCTTATCAGTTTTTATACAGTTACTCTATAGTAATCTAGACCATCACATTTAATTTTAATAATCAGACTGTAAATTTTCGCCCATACGTACTTGTGATAAGCTTAAATCGTACGCAAATATTAACACAATGTGAAACTTCATTACAGATTTCCATAAAAATTACGCTAATGACAAAAAATGAACAAATATTTGTAGTAGCAACGGTATGAATTATCCGAATCCAAACACTATCTGCTATCTGCTATCTGGTATAACCCAGTGTAATCCAGATAATGAGTTTATTCAACAGATAATTATCTTTAGATAAACGAATTATTCGAGATCTGAATGCTATCGCTATAGATAGTAAATTTACGTAGGATTGATCCGAAATTAAGGATGGACCCGTAAAAATTCGGATTTATCCGTAATTTTTAGGATGCGGATTAACCATGATTGAATTCGGATGGTCACTCCAAGGTAGGATCGGAACACTACACATAGCAACTTCACTTCTAAGTAAAGTCCTCTGTTTGGGGATTATTTAGATTATTTTGTATCAGTGTTGGCAAATGACAATATCATAATGTCATATGATATAGATTCATATGAATCATATGCAATATGATATAGATTATGTCATATTATTAGTATATGATACTTCGTATGATATTGTAATATACAAGTCATATACACTGACTTCCAAATGTTTTGCATCACATAATCATTTTTTATAATAAAACATAGTAAAAACTGAAGCTTTCGCTCCATATAAAAATTTATTACAAAAAATTTTTTTAAATATTTTTTTTTGTATTATTATAAAATTCATTGATTGTAATCTTCAAAAATTATTTTTTCAGATTTTTTAAAAATTTCTCTCAAAAATTGGTCTGATCAAGAAATAAATTTCAAAATGTTTATAAGTAGTATTTATAAAAATTTTGAAATTTATTTTCTTGATCTGACCAATTTTTGAGAAATTTTTAAAAAATCTGAAAAAATAATTTTTGAAGATTACAATTAATGAATTTTATAATAATACAAAAAAAAATATTTAAAAAAATTTTTTGTAATAAATTTTTATATAGAGCGAAAACTTCAATTTTTTACTATGTTTTATTATAAAAAATAATCACGTGATGCAAAACATTTGGAAGTCAGTGTAAGTCATGTCATTTAAATGACATCATCGGCCAACACTGTTTTGTATAGCGAAGGCAATGTTTTTCTAAACCTAATTATGAAAAAAATTTATTTTTCCTAAATAAAATGGCGAAACCAAAAGTATTTTAAACTGCGTAAATTAGTTATCTAGGCTATGTATTCGAATCAGCCAATTAGAAGAATGTCCTCCTACGAGAGATATGGCACGAAAATGTCACGGGAAGTAGGGTTATAAGCAGGCCTACCGAATAATTGATTGTAGGGGCAATTTTTCAAGCCCAATTAATTTATTGGTGGTGCAGTCACAATTGGTTGATTAATTGCAATTTTACGTAGTTAGATTAATATCGTATATTCACCACTACGATATGATTTTTTGATTTTCGCTGTTTAAAAGACCAGATTACACCATTGAGAGAAAATTGAATTTAATTGCAATTAATCGCAATTATTTCGTCATTAATTGGGTTTCAATTAATTTTATGATAATTTGATTTTAATTGTATGACGCATAGCAAAAATTAATTTTAATTGATTTTTCGGCAGGCCTGGTTATAAGTAAGCATTCCAATATAACTTCCGAAAAGTTCTGACGTAGAAACTACATGAACCTAAAAGGCGAGTGCGGCCTATTCGGAATAATCCGAAAAATAAGCGATAAATGGATATAGAATATTCAAGTTGTTATTATAATCAACACAGAATCCATAAAATATAATGCACGAATATTAACAGAATTCTTAAATTTTAAAGCACGGAATTTGATTTAATCACGGACGGAATCGACATCTCTGATCATATGGTACGTAGAAAAATGATAGACCCACATACGTATGCACGAATGTTACGTAAACCTGCACTTCCAATGTGCATAACTAGAAATTTCACACTATACTGCTATATCAGATATCAATACGTACAGTACATAGATAACGTCTTGAATTAACTTTACAAGCAATTTTTTTTTTAATCGTTTATCGATATCGCATTTTTATCATAATCAAATAATAAATATGTCCAAGGAAGTTATTGTGTATAATATTTCAGCATCTGCTTCTGAAAAAACGGGTTTGTTAAAAAATTGTCAAAAGAAACATTTGCTATTTAGAGTAACCTTTTGACAGATCTTACATTGTTCTTTATTTATGTTATATCCAAATTAGTTAAGGATTTTTTCTTATTCTGTGGCAAGATTAAGGAGTTTAACCTTGTAAAGTGAGTTTTTTTTAATTTTATCTTACATCATCCTGAAGTTATCTAATTATATGTTCAATTGTTTATATAGGGAAGAAAATAGCAATAAAAAAATTGCCTATATTACATTTGAACGCGGTATATAATCATAATTAAATCTAATTTCTTCCGATATTATAATTTTAAAGTATTTTTCATCTATACAATAGAAACTGCTGCAAAAACTGCTTTAATGTTAACTAATGCCGTCATTGGTAACTCTCAAATAATTATCAAATCCGCTCATGATGACACACATCTAGAGGATAAGGTTAGAAGTGATAAAAGAACATGTTAAGATCATTACTATGAATTTTCGTTTGTCACGAATTTTTTAAACATATCGAACATTGTATTACTACAATTTTCTATTTTTATAATAGTTAAGGTCATATTATGATGGAAAGTATCAATTACCATTAATTCCTTATAATGAATTCGAAAATATTGAAGAGATCAAAAAAGGTGAATTCGCAACAGTATTCAAAGCTCGATGGAATAATAAAGAATTTGCACTTAAATTAATTCATAATTCAAATAAACAAGAATTTATGAATAAGGTAATTTTGTAATATAATAGAATATTTTATATCTATCTTATATATCTATCTTTAAATTAACTTTTTTTTTTTTAATAGATCAAAGAGTATTCTGAACTTAGAAATAAGGGATTTTTATTTTTTAAATGTTATGGAATATCGAGAAACGATACCTCCCAAGATTACATTATTGTATTGGGTTATGCACTTAAAGGTTCTTTGCGCAATAATCTTCATGAGATACGCCAAATGGAATGGAAAATGAAATTAAATTTATTACATTGTATCGCTTCTAATCTTGAGATGGTTCATCACCAAGGACTTATTCATCAAGATTTGCATAGCGGTAATATTTTACAAGATAATTTACAAAGTGCATATATTGCGGATTTAGGATTTTCCATATTATATAATAAACAACAAGATAATGAAATTTTTGGAGTAATGCCGTATGTAGCTCCTGAGGTTTTATTGGGACAACAAAAATTTACTCATGCGTCTGATATCTATAGTCTTGGGATAATAATGACAGAAATTTCGAACGGACGACGAGCTTTTGATGGACATGAATTTAGTAACGATTTTGCAATTAAAATTTGTAATGGATTACGTCCAGAGTTCACTTTTGGTATTCCTAATTGTTTTATCAAATTGGTCAAACGATGTGTAAGTTCGGATCCGAAGGAACGACCTACTGCCAAAATTGTTAAAGCCAAAATTTCTATTTGGATTGATGAGATTGCAAGTTTAGATAATGAAAACAAGATTAAAAAACAATTTTACGAGGCTGACAAAATAATTAAATTAAATATTGAACATCCAGATCATATGTATACGAGCAAAATTATTAATACACAGAAAATTTCGGATGCTAATAAGTTCAGAAGCTTGTATATAGAATAGGTAGCTAATACTTAGAGGACCACCCCAAACTGACATAGTCTTGATATATAGAAGACACATAGTTTGTATTTGTGTTTATGAACAGTGTTTGTGATTGTGTTTAATGGCTACTTATGTCCTATATGATCCTTATATATATTCTAGAAAATTTACATAAGAATTTATTTTAAAATTCAACATACAGTAAATGTTTTTTTTTTTTTACATGATTTATAAAAAAGTTTATTTTAAAATTTGATGTTAAAATTAAGTTGAGTTAAGTTAGGCTTGGTTATGATCAGAGTTAACCTTTTTAAATGTACAACATTTTTACTTGCGTAAAACATTGAAAAAAAAATACTTTATGAATATTAAATAAATTTTTTTCATTAGTAATATTTAGGATTAGGGGTTCTATATTAAAGTTAAGGGTCTAAATTAGAAATAGGGTGAGATTTTTGGGGGGCATTTTACTTATAATACCCCGATCACTATTCAAGATCACGGGAGTATTAATTAATAATACCCTGACCGTATGTGAATTAGCGGGAC